TGGCGACCCCCCCCCCCCCAGCCACACAATTATTTTCGTTGCTACTTCATAGCTGTAAGGATATATGTTTTCAGATGTCTTAGGCGAACCCTGGAAAAGGGTCCCGCGACTCCCAAGTTGAGAACCGCTAATAAAGAGAGACGAAGATGGACATCTGAAGTGAAAGATAAAAAAAAACTAAAGCTGCAAGCCCCAACAACGTCATTTCAACTTACTAGACGGCACAGTCAAACCCCAACACCCGAACCAAGACTGCCACTGTGCCGCCATAACACACGACTCGAAGATCAGAAGACAGACCACTGGACATATCTTTCACCTTTGTTCCTCATCTGATGTCAACACTGGACATATCTTTCACCTTTGTTCCTCATATGATGTGAACACTGGACATATCTTTCACCTTTGTTCCTCATCTAAGTCAACACTGGACATATCTTTCACCTTTGTTCATCATCTGATGTCAACACTGGACATATCTTTCACCTTTGTTCCTCATCTGATGTGAACACTGGACATATCTTTCACCTTTGTTCCTCATCTGATGTGACCACTGGACATATCTTTCACCTTTGTATCTCATCTGATGTCAACATTGGACATATCTTTCACCTTTGTTCCTCATCTGATGTCAACACTGGACACATCTTTCACCTTTGTTCCTCATCTGATGTGAACACTGGACATATCTTTCACCTTTGTTCCTCATCTGATGTGAACACTGGACATATCTTTCACCTTTGTTCCTCATCTGATGTGAACACTGGACATATCTTTCACCTTTGTTCCTCATCTGATGTGAACACTGGACATATCTTTCACCTTTGTTCCTCATCTGATGTAAACAATTGTCGATGAAAGAAGAGGGGGCTAGCTACACAGACATTTCAGGCTGAAATACATCAGATTTCTAGACAAACATTGAAAAAAATGCCCCTTCCCTCACCCTCTCCCAACTGCACATGGAGCAATTGACCCTTCTCAAGTCTTCAAGTTGACACATAACGGATAAGACAGAGTTATGCCTCCTGGTTCTCCACGCCCTGTCATTTGATTCCATCCCTTGACAAATGGCTTCACTTTATCCAGGATTACATACCGTCTCCCACGCCATCTGTCAATGAGGAGTTGTCTACCATTTATTCCAACGATTAGAGAAAAAGTTGTCTGCCCTTATCCCGAGGGGCCGTAACCGTGGGTCGTAATGGCAGCTCGTGTGTGTCGCACGATCAACTGACCTTTGCAGGGAGCCACCAGAGTGACCGACACGTTGCGGGACATGAGCTGCACACAATCCTTCAATCCCACACAGTCCTTCAATCCCACACAGTCCTTCAATCCCACACAGTCGACCTTTACAAAATCCATGTTTTCTTTATCGTGTCATTTTCACCGTTCGATGAATTGTTTAGACGCATGATATCATCAGAGATGAAAGGTTTAGACGCATGATATCATCAGAGATGAAAGGTTTAGACGCATGATATCATCAGAGATGAAAGGTTTAGACGCATGATATCACCAGAGATGAAAGGTTTAGACGCATGATATCATCAGAGATGAAAGGTTTAGACGCATGATATCATCAGAGATGAAAGGTTTAGACGCATAATATCACCAGAGATGAAAGGTTTAGAAGCAAGATATCATCAGAGATGAAAGGTTTATACGCATAATATCACCAGAGATGAAATGTTTAAAAGCATGATATCATCAGAGATGAAAGGTTTAGAAGCATGATATCACCAGAGATGAATTGTTTAGAAGCATGATATCACCAGAGATGAAAGGTTTAGACGCATGATATCACCAGAGATGAAAGGTTTAGAAGCATGATATCACCAGAGATGAAAGGTTTAGAAGCATGATATCACATGAGATGAAAGGTTTAGAAGCATGATATCACATGAGATGAAAGGTTTAGAAGCATGATATCACCAGAGATGAAAGGTTTAGAAGCATGATATCACCAGAGATGAAAGGTTTAGAAGCATGATATCACATGAGATGAAAGGTTTAGAAGCATGATATCACCAAAGATGAAAGGTTTAGAAGCATGATATCACCAGAGACAGTTGGAGTTGGTAGCAAATGTACTAGCCAGAGTCATAAGACTGTAATCTCAGACCTTCGCCAGAATATGTGTGTTAGTTACTACAGAAAATCTAGAAACTGCGTCACCTATCGACATTCTTGAGAACAAATTGGAACTCATTTGAATGTAAACATTTCCGCAAGCCAGGACAGGAGCAAGTATGGGAGGAAGTAACAATACATTCACTCGGTGACGCCAATTTCAAGGCGATTCTACTAGCAGACAAGTTGTGGTGGCTAAAAATAACTCTATGTCGTTTAAAAAATTAGCCAAGCCTTACGCTATAGCGGGCTATATATATATATAACAAAACATAAACTAAATATACCAAATATACATATTCTACAGAACTGACCTTGAATACAGCCAGCTGATGGACGCCATACTTGTGGTCAGCCGACCAGGGCTCACGCCGCTGGAGGAACTCGGGAAACACGCACGTCTGACCACGCACGATGACGGTCATGGTGACCAGACAGAGCAGCACGCCCGACGGATGGCCAAATGCGGTTAACATGTCGAAGAGATTAGACCTGATGGAGAAATGACGTCACCAGTTAATGCATTTCCAGATGACATCAAAATGTAAATATTACACTAATTACCACCCGATGCTACATCTACACTCTGTTTATTTACACTAGCTACAGCCGCTCTCTAATTTGCATGATATCTACAAGAACACTATGTTTACACTATAGCTATAGCCAGTCCCTAATTTGCATGAAATCTACAAGAACACTATGTTTATACTATAGCTAGTCCCTATTTTGCATGATATCTACAAGAACACTCTATTTACACTAGCTATAGCCAGTCCCTAATTTGCATGATATCTACAAGAACACTCTGTTTACACTAGCTATACCCAGTCCCTAATTTGCATGAAATCTACAAGAACACTCTGTTTATACTATAGCTAGTCCCTAATTTGCATGATATCTACAAGAACACTCTATTTACACTAGGTATAGCTAGTCCCTAATGTGCATGATATCTACAAGACAAATCTATTTACACTATAGCTATAGCCAGTCCCTAATTTGCATGATATCTACAAGAACACTCTGTTTACACTATCTATAGCCAGTCCCTAATTTACATGATATCTACAAGAACACTCTATTTACACTAGCTTAGCCAGTCACTAATTTGCATGATATCTACAAGAAGACTCTATTTACACTAGCTATAGCCAGTCCTTAATTTGCATGATATCTACAAGAACACTCTATTTACACTAGCTATAGAAAGTCCCTACTTTGCATGATATCTACAAGACAACTCTATTTACACTATAGTTATAGCCAGTCCCTAATTTGCATGAAATCTAGAAGAACACTCAGTTTACACTAGGTATAGCCAGTCCCTAATTTGCATGATATCTACAAGAAGACTCTATTTACACTAGCTATAGCCAGTCCCTAATTTGCATGATATCTACAAGAAGACTCTATTTACACTAGCTATAGCCAGTCCCTAATTTGCATGATATCTACAAGAACCCTCTATTTACACTAGCTATAGCCAGTCCCTAATTTGCATGATATCTACAAGACAACACTATTTACACTAGCTATAGCCAGTCACTAATTTGGATGATATGTACAAGAAGACTCTATTTACACTAGGTATAGCCAGTCCCTAATTTGCATGATATCTACAAGACAACTCTATTTACACTAGCTATAGCCAGTCCCTAATTTGGATGATATCTACAAGAAGACTCTATTTACACTAGCTATAGCCAGTCCCTAATTTGCATGATATCTACAAGAACACTCTATTTACACTAGTATAGCCAGTCCCTAATTTGCATGATATCTACAAGACAACTCTATTTACACTATAGCTATAGCCAGTCCCTAATTTGCATGATATCTACAAGAAGACTCTATTTACACTAGCTATAGCCAGACCCTAATTTGCATGATATCTACAAGAACACTCTGTTTACACTATAGCTATAGCCAGTCCCTACTTTGCATGATATCTACAAGAACACTCTGTTTACACTATCTATAGCCAGTCCCTAATTTGCATGATAGCTCCACGAACACT